ATACTACTCTCTCTCTCTCTCTCTCTCTCTCTCTCTCTCCTTTGGTTTCCAACTGCTTAAGATTCATTACATGGAGCTGAGTTGAATTATCACTCTCTCTCTCTCTCTCTCTCCTTTGGTTTCCAACTGCTTAAGATTCATTACATGGAGCTGAGTTGAATTATCAAAGTACATATTTCAATTCTTAATGCTCAAGATTTGGTGCTTCTAGTACTAATCTATTCTTTGTAATTTTGTTTCTTTACATTTTATTTTATTGGATGACTGTCTTTTCCTGAATTTAAGTGGACACCATGTTGTTTAACACGATAATTGGATTTTTTTTTTTTGGCATGGCTTATTTGTGGACGACAACATTTTGTTTTCTCTAATTTCTTTGTTTTGGGAAATTGGGAAAAAAATATAATAATTAGTAACTTACATGTACCATCAAGCAGCACTTGGTTTCCTCTTATATCTTTTGTTTCGAAAATTTGAGAAAACTTGCAATTAGGAGTGTATAAGTTGCATGTACCAAGGTTCTTGAATTGGATCTTTTGAGTCCGTTATTTTTCTTTCCTTTTTTTTCGTAATAGATTTCTTTTGGGCCTATCCTAAAATTCAATTAAAAAACATAGGAAAGTCTTATAGGAAATAATTATTTAGTACCATGTACACTTTCTTATGTAGAAGATATTCTGCTTTATATTATCAGAGTAGGATTTGGATGGTGTTTGCATTTATGGGCTAATTATTCTTGATTTCAGCATCCAAGGATCCCTCTTTGCAGGCATTAAATGAATATAATGAATTTCTTTGCAGTTATGGGTGTTCAAAAAATGAATATGCGGAAATCAAAGTATTTTGTGGCCGTCTAAAAATCGCCTTTTCGACTCTGGACTCTCCCTATTCAGACTGGATCGGGAGGCTGGTGATTCCGGGACAAAAGAAGCCCTAGAATGACCTGAGTCTCTCCATGTTTCAATAATTTTTAAGAACTTTCTAGTTAGAAATTGCTTGTTCAACTTGGGACTCGCCCAAGTCGGGCAAGGGGGACTCGGGACCAGACACCTGGTGAGTCAGAGCCTGAGTCAGACTTTTTAAACGTGTTTTTGAGATCATTTGGTGGTGCCTCAGAGAAAACACCATTTGAACTAGCATTCTTGTTTCCTTGACCTTTGTTCTTCTTCATTGCTACTGATTTGAAACACTTGTTGTCCCCATATGTTTCCTCGGCTTTCTTCAAAACTTGGATTAGAGATTCATAGGAATAAATTCTCGCATTTTCTAACTACTTGGAGAACTTCTTTTAGATGATGAAAAAAATGCGCACCTAAAGAAATTGGACAATGCCTCTACCAATCTACAACTCTTCAAGGCAGACCTTCTAGATTATGGCGCTTTATCTTCAGCTATTTCGGGATGCCAAGGCATTTTTCATGTAGCAAGTCCTGCTCCGGCAAGAGACGTATCAGATCCAGAGGCAAGATTCAAGAATACCTTACAAAGCTCTCTTTTCCCCTCTTTAAACTGGTGGTTACTAGAAAATAAATTGAAATAGTTTTTTCACATCTCCTTCCAAGCATGCTAGCCATTGAGTTCATTGATTGTGTTTCAAAAGTTGTGTGTTTGTTTGTTCAATTTATAACATCTGGGTTTATTTGCCAATTGTAGCATCAAACACACACAATAATCATATATACAAATAATTATTGAAGGCTCAAATGATTGTGTGTACATACGCACACAAATTATGTTATATTTGTTTTTAGCACATAGCTTATCTGGTTCGATTACTCATTTGTTCATAGTTCTTCATGCCTCTCATGTTTACATGGACAATATCTTGCAGAAGGAAATTTTGGATCCTGCTGTAAAGGGAACGTTGAATGTGTTGAAAGCATCTAAAGAGGCAGGTGCCAGGCGGGTTGTCCATGTTTCATCTATTTTGGCTATCTCGATGCATCCGAACTGGCCACAAGATAGAGTCATGGATGAGACTTGTTGGTCTGACAAAGATTTTTGCCTGAAAGATGAGGTAACTTATTGATAAGTGAATTGCATCGATTTCCGTACATTACTTCTCAATGTCTTGTCTACTTTGTAGTTTCTAGCTTTCCAAGAACTCTAGCATATTCATATTGCATTGCCTCTTTAGATATCCAATACAATCTCAACAAACTACAGTTAGGGCTTTTAAAAGGTCCAGTCCAGGAGAGGTTATCCCTGGCCTGACAGGGTCCAGATTAGATTCAAACACTGCTCGGGTTCAAGACAGTTGGACGCAGACTTTGGGTCCAATTGACCCCGACCCCGACCTGGGCTAGACCTGGACCAGAGCAGACCTGGTGAGTCCAAGGGGCACGTTCTAGACCTGGACAGGGGTCTGATTGAACCTCCATGTCGGAGGACCAACCTGACCCAATTGGTACCACTACCCAGTTTAGCATGGGTTCAAATGGCATACTTCTGACTTGATTTTTTATATATATAGGCTCAAAGTAATCTTTGGCTAATCAAACCACAAAAGATACTTTTAATGAAAACATAGATTAAGTTGTAACATAAATTAGCTCATATCATAATGCACCTGAATCAATTCAACTAGCCAAGAGCTATTCTGTATCAAAATTTACTGGGGTTTGGTCTTTCTTTAATGCCTGAGATATGTTCTAAGATCAGATGGCCTTTTCCTCTGTTAATTCCAGCATTGGTATTGCCTCTCCAAAACGTTGGCAGAAAGCAGTGCTCTCAAATACGCCCAAAAAATTGGTCTTGACCTCATATCAGTTTGCCCAACCCTGGTCATAGGTCCAATGCTCCAACCAGTGGTAAATGGAAGCAATCGGGTTTTCATCCAGTTTTTAAAAGGTATATTCTAATTCTCAACTTTCTGATCCTTCTTAGGTGAACTTTGCGATTTGGTCAAGCGTTTAACACTTGAATTAAGATTATAGCTACGAAAACTGTTCCATAATCCAACTGAAGAGGGTATACAGTTCTTAGGTGAACTTTGCGATTTGGTCCAAGTGTTTAACATTTGAATTAAGATTATAGTTACGAAAACTGTTCCATAATCCAACTAAAGAGGGTATACAGTTCTCCACAGGGGAATCCGACATCCGTTCCCTCTAGGATAACTGTACATCAGTTCACGCTAGGATAACTGTAGAATTTAACTGTCCATTCCTGATTTGATGATCATATTGTTTGTCTTTTTTTTTGGGCAAGTAAGCCCCTACCCGTTTTTGAAATAGTCAATTTTTTAATCCATTAGTAAGAATGGAGGTCAAGACCTTTAACCAGAGCTCTGATGGTACTACCACCATGACCCAGCCCCTTCAATTTGATTGGAAAAGCCAACATATGATGTCAAACAAAATTGTTGGCTTCGCCAAATGTTATTGGTTTTTCTCCCAGGCTTTCATACCACTATTCAAATACAGGCTTGGAGTTGGACTTGGAACTCGGCAGGGTCCTGAGTCCAAGTCGTCCATACAGGCTTTGCCCTAGTTTGTCAGAGACATGGACCAGTCTGTACGAGCAACAATAGTAAATTATAGGAATTGGCTGAGTTTGGCTTGTACCTTATGGACTCCAAATACTATCAAGTCCGCTCAGACTCGCTTGAGTTTTAGAAGATTGTTTTATATTACGGAAAACTTGTTTATAAGATCTACTTGCTCTTACCAAGATTATAAAAACAGGAGAGATAGAGATGATCCCCAAGAATTTGCAGACTATTGTCGATGTAAGGGATTGTGCAGAAGCACTCCTATTGGCATTTGAGGACCCCAAAGCCTGTGGAAGATACATTTGTGTAGGCCATTCAATAAAAAAGAAAGAAGTAATCGACATTGCAAAGAGATTGTGTCCCGGCTACAATTACCTGAAACAGTGAGTTTGTCATCCAATTTAAGGGGAGTATACTGTGGTCTGATGTTATTTGGACTATAGTGATTCATATAATCCATTGGTATCACCATCATTGAATGCAATGGAGGGCAGTGATAAACGGAGAGTGGGAGCATCAGATCAAGACCATGTCCATGATGGCAGGTCCCACTCTCTCTCTATCACTGTCAATCATTTCATTGAACAGTGATGACCCAATGGATTATAATTTTCCATAGTACAATGGCCTTTTTTTAAGGGAAATTCATTAACTACCCTGAGAGATGAGTTACTTAACATTCTACATATATCTTTCCATTCAATTTCAAAATACCTATCAAAATACACATGAAGACCTGGAATAGTTGCATTTGGGCAAAATGTTAAATAGTTGTCTCTCATGTGTATTTTGACAAATTTCCCTTTTTTTCTAAGGGATTGTATACTGCGAGATCATTTATTTTTTTGTACAAGGATGTCATAATCATTTTTAGCTATTAAATATGAAATCTAATAAATGAAAGTGTGACGCAACATTTGAGGAATTTTGATTTTGGACGTTGTGCCTAAACAATGACACATCATCAACCACCCGATTTTAAAGCTAACGGTCAACTATGACTGTGACTTTTTTGTATAAAAAATAAATAGTCTCGATTTATACATTTCCATTTTTTAATGGAATTATATACTATGAGACTATTTATCTTTAATACAAGGAGGTCAGAGCTAATTCTAACCATTAGATGCCCGATTGGATAGCTTGGGGAGTATCACGAAGTTCAAAAAAAAAATTGATGGGCTTGGAGTATAGTCACAAGTACGCTTTCAAGTTTCAACCATTTGATTTGAAATTTGATGGACAAAAATGGTTGTATCCTTGTACTCTAAAAAGTAAATGGCCTCTTTATATACTTTTCCTTTTCTAATACCCAAATATGAAAAGGTTTTCTTGATTCCTTTTATGTTTCCTTCATGATAGGTACATTGATCTATGCGAGGTACCCATTAACACTGAGAGAATGTTGCAGTTGGCATGGAAACCCAGGCCATTGGAAGAGACACTTGTTGATGCTATTAAGCAATTTCAGGAAGCTGGTCTTCTTGGAGGGACTTAGTTATTTATATACACTTTCAGTGTGTGATTCATATTATGCTTGCACTTTCTTCTAAAATAAGCAGAAATTGTTGAGGATCGGTGTATCTGGATGAAACAAGAATAAGAAATGCATGATAAGTTCAATCTTTGAGTGGGTCAAAACAAAAGTTCAATGTTTGGGTGGGTCACGCAAGTTTTTGTATAACTAAAGTATTGCATGAGAAAATTGTACACTTGCTCCCTCGTGCAAAATAACTCGTTTTTCTTTGTCTGAAATTTTGCGTCCATTTCGGAATCACTTTGCTAGAAATTTTAAGGAAGATAATTTTGAGTTCCTGAAACCTATACGTTTGATAGTCGACCCCTAACACGTTTGATAGTCGACCCCAAATAGTTAGGCTAAGGCTCGGATGATAATGGAACGTGATAGTTCAAAAATTGGATCGGCCCATCTTCATGCCTAAGGCTCCATTTTTTTCAATCTAGGTTTGTGTATTATCTTTCCTTTTCTTTGGTTGGTCTGATCAAGTAGATTAGTTTCCTAACATTTGGGGTCCAAAAAAAAGCTCCCAGCTAAGTTTTATCCTGAAGGGACAAGCGTACAGTTTGCTCCTGCGAAGCATAAAATATTTTCAGTATGTACCTATATGTGTTTTGCGTTTAGGAATGACTATATATCGTTGCATTTTGGCTACATTATTTTGGCAACCATCATTTTTGTGCTAGCCTCCCACCTATGGTTTTCAAACGATTGAGAGCTTAAAACCCAGATTGGCCAGTGCCGGTGAACTGACCCTCCGGTAAACCGGTTTGGATTGGCAAATCAGTTAGATTGGTAACCCGACCAATCTCCAAGGTGAGCATCGGTCAATAAAAAAAAAGGTGAAAAAGAAAAGAAAATAAAAACAATAAAAATATGTCTGATTCCTGATGGAACCAGCCTGTTCCCTCGGGATGATTCCTGAATCAAAATTTAAATCAGGAATTGGGTTGGTCCCCTCCGGATCCCAATCGGCCTATTTCAATCAGAATCAGTGTTTTTTAAAACATTGGTTGGAACTATGATAAGAATATACAGTCCCCTGTAAAAGTTGACCAATTCTAAATTCGTTTGAAAGATAAATGACCAACTTAGATTAATAAAAGGGATTGTATATTATGAGACCATTAATCATTTGCTTTTTATACAAGGTGGTTACAGTTATGTATAACCATCCAATGTGAAATATGATAGCTTAGTGTGTGTCACAAAGTTGGAGAAATTTTGTTTAGAAATTTGAGCTTGGTCAATGAAATAAATGCACCCATCTAATTTCACAAGCTATACAAATGATGGTCCAAAAATGCATTACAAGCTATCAATTTTGAGCTTGGTCAATGAAATAAATGCAACCATCTAATTTCACAATCAGATAGCTTGTAATACATTTTTGGACTACCAATTTTCAAGATTTTCAAATGTTCATAAATCTGCTCTATCTACACTAGTTTGAAGCTTTACATTTTATAATTAGAGATTAAAACAAATTTTCAGGCTATCACAAAGATTTCCAGTATTGAAACAATATCTTTCGACACTATTTAAAGGTGCGCATTACTTTGATTGTTTCAGGGCCTCGGCCTTATACAAACCACACATTTTATATATGGGTGGGGTTTGTATGGAGCCAAGGCTCTAAACGATCAAATTAGAGCCTACCATCAAATAGTGTCGAGAAATATGGTTTCAATACTGAAAAGTGTCGAGCAGTTGAAAACTTGAAAATCTTAAAAATCGACCGTCGAAAGATGCATTACAAGATGCAATATTTCCAAAACTTGAAATTCATTTTTTTCTCATGTCCATGCATCTTGATGTCGAGATGATCAATTGATGATATTTGGACATCAAAACAACCTCTTCTAGTGAAAGTTTTGAGGTAGGCTCTAATTTGATTGTTTAGAGCCTAGGCTTTTAAATAAACTTTTTCCCTTTATACATTATAGGATAGTTTGAAATATATTAGCACTTATATGTTAGACTAAAAAGTCATTGTAATTTGATCTT